ATATATATATATATATATATATATATATATATATATATATATATATATATATATATATATATATATATATATATATATATATATATATATATATATATATATATATATATATATATATATATATATAACCCATTTATAACACATCTCCTCTTTGTTTTTGTGATTTTTCGGTTCATGAGTAGTTATAAAAGTCCATGTTTGATATTGGTAGCCTAATATCTGCCCGAATATAGATCATATGAGAATTTTGAGCTCATTAAACAAAACTGGACAAATTTGGAACCTAATAGGTATCGAGAAAAATGAGATAACAGATTTTTGACAAATATCGATACTGGCAATAAATAATGTGACATGATTGAAATTATTTGGTTGGATCACAGTGTGTGGAGAATTGTGGTCGAATATACAAATTAGCACGCTATAATAAAAAAAATATAAAAAAAGTGGACCCCCCCCCCCCCCCCCCCCCCCCTTTCTCCCAATTCCATTTTCTTCTTCCTCTTGTTCGCCGGCTGTAAACTCTAACGGAAAGTTCTGGCTGTGCGTCCACTTCTGAATTTTAGTGCGGCTGGAGAACCTGTGTTGCGTGCACATCCATTTTACAAATCTGACTCATTTGTATACAGACTGTTTGTTCCTTGCCTCTCAGGCAGATGCAATCCGACTTCGATGAACCTGCTAATTAGTTGCCTCTTACGACATGCTTTTGGGTAGCCACTGGGTCTGTTCTTGTTTTCTCCACAATGGAACACCGGAAATCACACGGGGAGACTACACTTTAATAACAACGAGATGCAAACTATGTTCATAGTAATTATTTAAACGCACGAACAAAAATTACCTGAAACAACACTATATGTATATATAGTATATAAAAATGTCTCTCATATTCCGGATTGAACAAGATATGTCTTGTAAGATACAGAACGAAAACCAGTCGACGAGTCTGCAGCAGTGATTTTTATAAAACTGGGTTACCGAGACATTAAACTAACGTAGGGATCCGTCCGCCTTATCTGGGTATCTCTGTTTGATCAATATTGCACGTCGGTTAGTTGTTCCGCGGAGATTGTTTCCCCGCCCGCCTTGTTTGATTCAGATTTTGTGTTCTGTCCGTCTTGTTGCATTTAGTGCCTTCCGATTTTTTATTCTGTCCGTCTTGTTGCATTCAGTGCCTTCCCATTTTTTATTCTGTCCGTCTTGTTGCATTAAGCGCCTTAAGATTATTTTATTATGTCCGTCTTGTTGCATTAAGTTCCTTAAGATTATTTTGTTCTGTCCGTCTTGTTGCATTAAGTGCCTTAAGATTATTGTATTCTGTCGTGGCGCGGTGATTTCGGTCACAGGCATGAGGCAAAGTTAAGTCTGATGTGTGGTGTTTAAGGAGATACTCCGTACCCCACTCGGGCGCCAGTCCTTCACTGTTCTGGTTTTACGGAACCTCATGCAAGACTCCTGTTGCACGTCCTCGTCGTGCGCCACGGATAATATGTCAAATGAGCATTAACAGAATTGGCAGGGGATCTCGGAGCTGGCGGCCCCTAGAGGTGTAGTGTCCTTTCTGGCTCTCACCAGCCCGCCCCCAAACGCATGGGTGAAAAGTCTAACAAAACTCAAGAATTGCTTGCTAAATGTACCATCAAATGACAACTCTAGGTTAAAATTCGGGAGCGAATGGAAAACTGTGCTGCTAAGACTTAACCCTGACCGAGAGATTTACCCGCAGCCAAGACGAGTAACATCTCTTGTGGGCGACTTCTCGCAGCAAGATCCTACCTACGTACATCCTCAATCCTCAGTGTCGTCGTCACCGCGCTGAGGTACACCACGGCAGCAACTTTTCATATGCTGACTTGGAAATAATGTCCGACAAAGTTATACCCCACGGCACACATGCAAGCTCAAAGTCCGACGATCATAATTCGTACCGATTAGGAAAAGCCCGAATGTCCGTATCCACTGGTCCAACTCGCCCGAGTGTTGGGACCAAACAGGTGAAGCCACGCCTGACGCATTTTGCTTCCCCATTCTGTCGTGCTAAGGGCACAGCTGAAACAACGTTAAAGGTGTCTAACGTAAGATGAAAAAGAATGTACCTATTTGTGTGGCCACAAACGTCCTAGACCTGCGGGCTGCTCCCCGCTGATCTCCAGAGAGCGCAGCCTTGTAGCGCGGAAAGCTCAATACACGGTTGCGAGGTTAAGCAGTCATGGGCAGGACGTGACGATTCCTTGGGTGAGCCCAGAACCAGAGCATCATGTGTCGGCTCTGCATTTATGGAAGCCTCCTTGGATGGCGGGGAATGCCCATGATCTGCCCCTGCCTTCCCTTGAGGGCTGAAGACTCTACATAGAGCTGCCTTAAGGACGACATTCCGGGGGCCACACCTGTTAAAAGTCAAAGAGGACACCACACAAATGAGGCAACATCTCGACCCACACAAAACAATGGCCACAGTCAACCTAGAAATAGGCTTGACGTCTTCCTCCGAAGTCGGAGTACATCTGCCGGAGAGGCGGGGAACGAGAACTGCGAACAAATAAGCCAGTAAAACGGATGTACACGCAAAAGGTGAAAGCCAAAAGTCCATTTTGGACGAACAACCGCGACTTTCCGCCGGAATTCACAGCCGGTGAACAAGAAGAAGAAGAAGTATTCTGTCCGTTTTGTTGCATTAAGTGCTTTCAAATTGTGTGTTCTGTCCGTCTTGTTGCATTTAGTGCCTTCCGCTTTTTTATTTTGTCCGTCTTGTTGCATTCGGTGCTTTCTGATTTGTTTATTCTGTCCGTCTTGTTGCATTCGGTGCTTTCAAATTGTGTGTTCTGTCCGTCTTGTTGCATTCGGTGCCTTAAGATTATTTTATTATGTCCGTCTTGTTGCATTAAGTGCCTTCCGATTTTATATTCTGTCCGTCTTGTTGCATTCAGTGCTTTCTGATTTGTTTATTCTGTCCGTCTTGTTGCATTCGGTGCTTTCTGATTTTGCGTTCTGTCCGTCTTGTTGCATTAAGTGCTTAAGATTATTTTTATTATGTCCGTCTTGTTGCATTAAGTTCCTTAAGATTATTTTGTTCTGTCCGTCTTGTTGCATTAAGTGCCTTAAGATTATTTTGTTCTGTCCGTCTTGTTGCATTAAGTGCCTTAAGATTATTGTATTCTGTCCGTTTTGTTGCATTAAGTGCCTTAAGAATATTGTATTCTGTCCGTTTTGTTGCATTAAGTGCCTTAAGATTATTTTGTTCTGTCCGTCTTGTTGCATTCAGTGCTGTTTTTTGTTTTGTCCAATTTGTTGCATTCAGTGCATTCATTTTTTTTTTGGGTGAGGAAGGGGGGGGGGGGGGGGGGGGGGGGGGGGGGGGGGGGGTCCATCTTGTTGCATTAAGTGCCTTCAGACCATTTGGTCTGTCTGTCTTGTTGAATTCAGTGTTATCAGATTTTTTGTTCTGTCTCTCTTGTTTCATTCAGTGCTGTCCCATTTTTTTTTCCTGTCCGTCTTTATACATTCTGCAGTCAAATAAACAGAAAAAGAAACTTTTTGTTTTGTTTTGTTTTTGTTTACTCTCTTAGATTTTTTTGAAATGTTTATACCACTCGGTATATGTTTAAATCACTATTGATAACTAACATCACGAGGGCTAATGCGCTTGAATGGTTAGGGGCACAAAGAGAGAATAGCAGATAACCGAGGAACCAAACACTGTGTAGACAAGAGAGTTGAACGGTCGTAGACCGCGTACAGACCTGCATGTCTGTGAATAGAAAATATCCGGACAGACCTAAAGACACTTGAAGTCATCAACAAGAAAATAGAAGGCCAGTCACAGACGTGAGATACTGGCGGATGATAATGCAGCAAGGAATCTCAAGTGCTTGGAATGCTGAAGAAAAAAAAAAAATAGGTATCATTCGGTACTATCCGATTTGA